TGGCCCTGAGGATGACGGAGGGGCTGCAGTGTGGCCTGTGCCACAGGTCTGGCCGGGCAAACTCCCAAGGTCAATACATCAGAGCAGGCAGGGGCTCTGGGGCCTGACGACCCAGGCACAGAAACTCCAGGGCACCATGGGGGGTGGGGGGAGGTGTGAGTCAGATGGCATTCCAGTGTCTGCCCGCCCCATTCCATCTCAGACCCGTCCCTGCAGCCTTGACAGCTCCAGCCTGGGTTTGCTAGAGGAGTCTGGTGGCAGTGATTTCTGTGACAGAGGGCTGGGGACTTAGCAGTCTGGAGGGAAGGTGGCTGATGGAGGTGATGGGCTCAGTGACGGGCTGTCGAGTGCCATGCCCGTCCTCTGCTCACTGCTGGGACAGCTCCGGGGCATGGCTTGCCTCCGGCAGTGCTGGGCCCATCACAGACACAACCCACCTCCAATAACTGGCCCCTGCAGGAACACCAAGGCCCAGGCTGCCTGCCTCCATCAGGGGCGGTGCTACAGAGCCACCCCTGCTTCAAGCCTGCCAAGCCTCTGGGACCAGCTGTACCCTCTCTGTCGTCACCACTCAGGTGAGCTGCTTTCTCTCCCAGGCCGGCTTCCCTTCCCCCCATCCAGGTGATGCTCAAAAGGCCATTTCCTGACCAACCTCCAGCACCCACACCTCCACCTCAGGGTGTGTTCCCAGGGAAGCCAAAGGACGCCCATCGAGGAACTAGAATATCTACACACCTCCACCTGCCCCTGTCCCACCAGACCTCTTAACCTACGTGTGCATGCACACACTGTCTCAGGTGTACTCACTGTACTTGTTCACAGACGGATACATATGCGGGCACACATGCACGCGCATACTTGAATATATCCTCTACCCATCTGCAAGCACGTACATGTGCACACACATACTCATGACACATAGGAACCACATGCAGTCGTGCCCACACACACATGCACCTACCTGGCAGTCCAAGAGAATGTTCTCCGGCTTCAGATCCCTGCAAAACAGGAGAGACAAGAAGAGCCTGTTGGCGTCTCATCATTGAGTGAGGACAGCTGGGGCCTGGCCTCTGGCAGGAAGCACATTCGTGGAGCTCCAAGGATGATAGACTGGCGAGACCCCCTCTTCCTCCTTGATCCATCATCAGGACTTAGGGGTCCACCCCCCTGGCTGTTGGAACAGGAAGTCGCAGGCCCAGCCTGCATGAAGGCCTCACCTGTAGATGATGTTGAGCGAGTGCAGGTAGCCGATGGCGCTGGCCACCTCTGCGGCATAGAAGCGGGCCCGTGGCTCCAGGAACCGGCGCTCGCGTTGCAAGTGGAAGAAGAGCTGAGGGTGGGGTGCAGGGGGCACGTGTGAAAGGTCTTCTTGGGGTGCTCCCAGCCACCAGTGTGCAGACTGGGGCTGCATGAGCTTCACCCTCTGTGACAGCCAATTCACCCCAGTCTGAGCTGAAGTGCACGCCTACCTACCAAACAGCCGCTCGCCACTCACCACCCCACCCCCACCCTGAGCGGCCACAGGTGCCTAACTTGTCCGCAGGAAGAAAGAAAGATGTGCTGAGCACCTACTCTGCTCCAGGCTCACGGCATTGTCAAGACAACCCTCCGCTTAGAGGATGCCTGCAGCTTCAGAGAAGTTACGTGACCTGCCCCGGGCCACACCGCTCGCAATGGACAGAGCTGAGATTTGAACTGGATGATTCAAAGGTGTGCTGTTCCTTCAACCCAGACAATAAGATGACCCGGCTGTCCAACGGAGCCCAGGTTAGATCTGCCCGCCAGCCAACCACTGGGGTCTATTTTGGATGGGCCTTCATCCCCAAGGGGGGAGCCTAAAGGGCCCCAAAGAACCGAAACTTTCGGCATGAGGTGGAAAGGTCACTCAGGTAAAGTTCAGAGTCACTAAAGTTTCTCATCTTGCCCAGAAAGACAGAGCGAAGTCCAGGAGGGACTCTGGCTTGTCCGAGCTGTACCTCTGGGTCACCGTGTGCCTACTGCAGTGACCTGGCCATGCCCCCTCAGAGCCTGTGATGTAAATGGGGGGCACCGGGACCTTTGAACACATAGCCCCTCTAAGCACCCGCCTTCCCCGAGGGCAGCTGGTGAGTCTTTGGGGAGCACCCTTGCTGGGAGCCAGCCAGGTCTGCGTTCAAACAGGGGGCGCCTTGCGTGAGCGAGTCACCCCCTCAGCCTCAGTTTTGGCAGCTACAAAATGGGTCTGTTGTCAGGATGCGATGAGCTCATTCCAGCGCCTGGTACCCAGTGGGGGTGGGGGGGGACGGCCCCAGCCGAGAGCCGGCGCACCTCGCCCCCGTTGACGTAGTCGAGCACGAAGTAGAGCTTCTCGGGGGTCTGGAAGGAGTAGCGCAGACCCACCAGGAAGGGGTGCCGCACGTTCTTCAGGAGCACGCTGCGCTCGGCCATGATGTGGCTCTGCTGAGGGGGACACACAGACAGAGCTCCGGGTCACATGGCCTTGCTGGTGGAGGGGGCCCTGCATAGGACTACCCCATGCCCTGTGTCAAACACCCTCGATGGCTCCCTGTTGCCCTCAAAGGCAGACTGAAGTTCCCTGCCTGGTGTTCAGGGTGCAGCCTGGCCAGCAGCATCCCCAGCCTGTCTGTGTGGGCACAATGCCAGCCTTGGGTCAGAAACCCCTGCTCCTGAGCTGATAAACACATACGATGGCTAGTTCCAGAAATGTGTCCCAAGGAGAATCTTTACAAGAAGTCATACTCCGTACACATGATACCCATCTCCTGTTCCTTCAGCCTGGCAGGACCCACCTGCCCTCAGGCCATTGGAAGGACACCTTCCTGACCACCTGCAAGGCTGCCTCCCTTGGGAAGATGGCCTCTCCCCACCTCCCAGCTTCCCTGGCAGCAAACAGCGTCCACTCACTCCCTTTCCCGAGTCTGTAGACTTGCTATTCAGGCCCCGCTCTGTTCTCCTCCCAGGGTCAGGCTAACGGGTCTCAAGCCAGCGGGAAGGGCCCTTGGGGACTATCAAGTGTGACCCCGGCACTGTATAGAGATAGGTAGTAAGGACGAAGACTTGCTCACCACGCTTCCCAGGGAATGGCAGAGGACCAGGGCTGGGTCCTCCTGAAGACCCTATGGGTGAGGTGGCTTAGCCTGCCTTTCTTGGGCCCCAACTGACCCCTGGCTGTGACCACCACTGGCTGGACTCTGCTCCCAGCCCCCTGGGCCCCTCAGAGTCAGAGCCCATCTTTGGAGGCCACCCTAGGTAAAGGGTGAAGGGGCAGGAGGTACCTCTTTCTTCTTTAAGATGGACTTTTTCTGTAGCACCTTCACGGCATAGAACATCCCGTCGGACTTGCGTTTGGCCAGGAGCACCTGAGCAGAAGCACAGTTGGGAGTCCCTCCGTGTGAGGGGTCTGGTCACCGGCCTGTCTAGGTGGCAGCACAGGCCCTCCAGCTAGCCCCCAAGATTCAGCAGGAATGTGAGCCCCCCTGTCTCTCTTGGCCCATTTGAGCAGCGGGCAGGGGTGCGGAAGCAGGAAGATAGCCTAGATCTTCCACCTGCATCCCCATCACTCACCTTCCCATAGTTCCCCTTGCCAATGACTTTGAGGAAATCGAAGTCGGTGGGCCGGGCACTGGGCGAAGAGGGAAGGAAACTGTGAGCTCAGGGACCCAGTATCTGAGACCGAACCCTAACTTCTTTGTAACTTTGAGGCTGGGAAGTCTAGTGAACTTTCTGAGAATCAAAGCCTGCTGGCTTTTGATGAATGCCTGTTCTCAGTGCTGAAAAAGAGTTGATTAGGATACATAGTGACCCTGTATAGGGCTTCTGAGACTGTAAATCTTTATGTGAGCAGACAGTCTCATCTCTCTCCCTTGGTGGGTTTGAACCACCAACCTTGTAATTAGCAGTCCAATGCCTCGCCCACAGTACCACGGTATCCTTTCTTATGGCTAAGAGAGCGCTTGTAAGACTTGTCCCTGCACCCTGGGGAGTTCAACATCAAGTTAAGAGCAGATAAAGTTCAGAGGAAACCAGACACCGCAGAATAGAAGGTAAGGGATCTAGCTGCCACAGGGATCTTGGAGAAGGGCCTGATAATGCAGCCATTTGTTGGGGGGAGTGTCCCAGGGAGAGGGCCCAGCATGGGCACGGCTGGGAAACAGAGTCGGGAGAGAATCCTGAACTTGGATGGTAGGGCTTTGAACTCTAGCACAGAGAAGTTGGACATTACCCCCACATCCAGGGCAGCGGAGAGGAGACTATTTGAGAGACCAGAACTCACTTTGGGTTGGCTGAAGGTCCCAGGTTGATGTTCCCATTGGCCCTCGAGGCCTAAAGATATTTAAAGACAGCGGTGATTAAGAGCTGCGTCCTCTGCGGATTCCCTTCAGCACCTCCCTGGGCCGGCTTGCTTAAGTCTTCCATCTTTCCTTCCTTTCTTACCACCCATCTCCTCACCCACCCACCTGTCTAGTCACCCACCTACCCATTTACTCACCTACCCACCCATCTCTTCACCTACTCACCCATCTACCCAACCACCTCCCTGCCTACCCACCTACCCACCCCTTCCATCAAACGTTCCCTCACCCATTCACCAGCTAATCTGCCTCTCATAGCACATGAACCTTGGGAGGCTACTGGTTGCTGTACCCATGCTGACGGTGAGGAGCCTGAGGCTCAGAGAGGCACGGCCCAGGGTTTGACAGACAGCCGGGCTGGGATTAGAGCCCAGGTGTCCTCACAGTCAACCCTCTGGATATCCCACCCCGGCGGTGGTCCGCAGACTTCATCAGCTGGGAGACGCGGTGAACCCTCTGGTCGTGGCTTGGGGCTCAGAACTTCTCACCTGTGGACTGGTCATCCCGGCCTGGTTGGGGTTCATTTTATTTTGTCTCAGGGATCAGGCAGACTCTGTGGGCACTGGGAAGAGCAGGTATGAAAGCTAGAACCGAGGGTTCGCCTCCCCTGTCTAGGGCTTCGGATACTGTTGTTCTCTGGCCCCAGGGGCCCTCTCCACCATGCCCACCTCCATGTGGCTGACATAGAGGGGCCAGCACCCCTGCATGGGGCAAGATTGTATGATCCCTTGGCCCAGCATTTCTGACCACATTTCAGGGGTGTGTGGGTGGAAGGAGGGCCCTCCTCCCTCTAGGGGGATCCCACTGAAGCTGGGGTTTTTTTCAGGGGTTCAAAGGTGGGAGACAGCCAGAGAAGCCACACCCTGGTCATCCAGGCCAGGTCCAGAAATCCAGGTGCTGAAGGGTCTCTCATAGAACATAAAGAGGGACACCCCCACTCCCACCCTCCCACAGGTGGGAGGGACTTGGGCTTAGTCAAGGAGAGACCTGGCCTAGGACCACAGCGCTGGAAGGGGCAGGCAGGCTGAGTCCCCCAGACCCTGCATGCCTGTGGACAGTCCTGGGCTCTTTGCTGACCACCATCTCCCAACCTCCAGAAAGGATCTCCACTCAGCGTCCTAGGATGGTGGTTTCCCTGGGGACCCCAGCTAGCCGATGTCTCAGGTCAAACATCAGAGAGTGTCAGCTGCTCTTCTATGAAGCAAGGAACATGGCAGCTCACGGGACCTCCCTGGCCTGCGCTGCTAGCTGGAGAAGACGGGGTGTCCAGGTTCTGGCTCAGCATGCTCAGGGTCCCAACAGCCCCATGCCAGCTTGGGAAATCAAGGCTAAACTTTGAGAGCTCACCTGAGAGAGCAGCTGCTTGTGGGGTCGCTGGGAGCTGTGTACCCCAAGAGAGCAGCCAAGACCCACTGTGGGGCCCAGCTGTGGCTTGGCCTCCCTGGACAGGGGGCTCCACATCTTTACAGGGGACCCACCCTGGGGTCCTCTTGAGAACTGAGAAATGACTGCAACAAGGGAAGGAGGCCCCAGAGAGGGAGCCGCAGGACTGCGGAGTAGGGAGTTGGTCTGGGTACCCCTAGGCAGCCCACTGTCCCTCCCCAGTCCATCCCAGGCTGACCCTGATGTCCCTTGGACAGGCCCCGGCCTCCCCAGCCCCACATACCTGCAAAGTCCAAGCAGAGGCCACGGACTAAGGCAGCAGCTGGAGCCGGAGGATGGGCAGTGGGTAGAGAGCTGCTCTGTTCTCCCAACAAGGGCCGATGTGTCTGTGCTGGCCGGCCGCTGGCCTGGCACCAGCACCACGCTCAGAGCTCCAGCAGCAGCGGCAGCAGCCCAGCGAGGGGGCTGACCGACGTCACACAGGACCCAACAGAGCTGAAGAAGGCACTGGAGACCTCTGTTCCCTCGGGGACATCACCTACCCCTAGGGATGAGGGGAAGAGGGTCCCTCCTTGTCTCAGTGCACAGTACCCAGTACCCAGCACCTAGGACCAGACACCCATGGGTGGCTTAGGATGTGCGTGCCCATACAGTCCAGGCCGTGGTGGGGGGATGCTTAGCACGTGAGTAAATGCTTTGTCTGTAGACGTGCCTCTGTGTGTCTGCCAGTGCAGGATGTCAGTGTGTCTGTGAACCAAAGAATCTGGGCCACGGTGGGTGCGTCTGTGTGGAGAGGACACCGCCACCATCAAGCTGTTTGGCAGCATCACCTGCTGTACCATTATGTCCTTGTGCACCTGCTGTCCCCCGAGAGGGACGGCGTCCAGGGGTGCTGTGTAGGGTCCCAGAAACCAAACACACTGCCACAGAGCCGTTGGTGCCCTCTCAGAGGCACCCTGCAGGACAGGGGAGAGTTCCCAAGCCCCTCACTCTTTAGGGGAGTAGAAAGCTCCACCTGTCTTCCTCGGAGTGGCTGGTGGTTTTGAACTGCTGACCTTGCGATTAGCAGCCCAGCTCTTAACCACGACACCGCCAGGGCTCCTCCTGCTGTGCGGTGCAGTGTGTGCCAGTGCGTGTCGGTTGGTGTGCATTTCTACTTCTACATACGACGGGACTTCAAGAAGTTGGTGGGGAAATTCATGATCCTTTCATTCAATTTTTCCACAAACATTTTGAAGCCTCCTCATATAGTAATGCGCCTGGGTCGGTGCGTGTGTGTGTGTGTGCGTGTGCGTGTGTCTGTGTGAGAGAGAGAGAGAGAGAGAGAGAGAGAGAGAGGTCCTGCCCAGAAGATAATATTATCTCCAGAGCCTGTCC